ATATACATACAGGACAGGTGATCACTCCAGCTATGAAGCAAGATGGCACCTCATATAAACCAACTACTTGGGATTTTGAAACTAGGTTTGTACCCATTGGAAACCAATTTCCACCCACTTGAAAATATGACTTGAAAATAGGCATATTTTAGTTAAATCATCAATTCAAACGAATGATCAAACGTTAATCATTTCAATAACTTTGAATGGCCTCATGTGTATGTATGTATTATTTATTTATTTGCGTCTAGAAAATCGAAAAAGGATAAAAGTTGGGAGCACAGAAGACGTCTTTTGATCTTTTAGCTCATTACCATCATGGAATACCATGGACCTCTCTACTTGCATATAAACACAGACAGGTATTTATTAGGCGCGATGTGTATCAGAATGCTCTTTTACCAACACTTTGACTGTTATCACAAATAATTGCCATTCTGTAAAAATTGAAATAAACATTTTTCTTGATATCTTGATGACATGATTTCCAATGAAACCCAGTGCTCCCTCCCCCTTCAGTACAAGATGAAAACAATAGAGCACTTTTCAGGTTAAATATAAATTGATTTTTATTATGCAACCGGAAAATTGTTTTGCCTCTGTTTGATTTTAGACATTTCAACTTTGTGCAAGTTGCATCTAGTTGGGGAGAAAATGTGATATACCGGAGTTGTGAAACTGTCTCGACAAAACCGACAAACATTTTCAAAATACAATAACAAAATGATTTGTCAGAATATGTTGTATTATCATTTTTTCAGTTAGACATTTAACTTGAAATTGTTTCCATCTTTTGGAGATGTTTCTTTTCCAAGTTAACATAAATATGCCCGTTATTAGCATTTTGAAATATGATACTGCCGATATTTTATACAAACTATGCCCAATTTTTTAAAAAAATACCGTACATGCTCAATAATATTCATTTTCCATTCAGATACTTCACATCATTATTAGTTCTTTGTCTTAAAATAGATGTCTCACACCCAACACTTTCAAATTCTAATAATCCATGAAGCTAAGTTCACACCAACGGCGCTTTGATGGCGCTTGAAAGCGCCGTTGGTGTGAACTTAGCTTTAGGTATAGTTCGTTTTGTCGTCATTTAATCTTTGTCCTCAGTGAAACGTGGTGAACTTGAATTTGGCAGATTTGTGTTCCGATATCTCAATCAGGATACAATTTATTTTCATCTGGTAAAGTCCAAAGAGTGATCATGATGTATTTCAATATTATTACATACCCCATATGTATTCTATATGCGCATTGGTTTATTCATGGTCACTTGATATGAAATAAATGAACTAATTACCTGGAAAGTCCTAAATCCCTGATAACAGGGAAGATAAAAAGTACTTATCACCAGTAAGGTCATGTGACCAGTCATTAGTACTTTTTACATTCCCTCGGAACTTATAAAATATACAAATACTTCAAAATGTCAAAAGGGCAGTGTTTGTTATTCTAAACCTTAAATAAGTCATGGTGATCAGGAACTAGCACCATCAAAAGACTAAATAGACTTGGTTCAAAACTTCAATTCTGAATTTATAAAATTTGAAGAAATAGTTTCAAATTGTATTTAACTTTGCATCCCATTTTCAATTTTAATAAGTTAATTAATTAAAATGCATTTTCTACAAATAAGCAATATTGATCTTCTATCTACATGAACATCAATAATATGCAATTAAAAGGCTAATAAACCCATTTAAAACTGATAAAGATATAATTTGAAAAGTATATAATTTGAACCTCAGCACTTGAAAAATAAATATAAGGTTCAACTCATTTCAAAATTGAAAAGAAACAGGAAATCCTGGAATAAAATTCAAAAAGTGAACACCTGCCCATCTGGACACTCTCAATCAGATTAGACATGTTTAATAAAAGTTCATTCACTCAATCAACTTTTAACAAATAACAAAGTTTTTTTCTGGAGGAAGATGCAACAGTGATCTCCCAAGGAATTTTTACTCAGGTGGGTGAAAAATTCTCATTTTCACAATTTAGACCAAAATTAGTCAAAATATGCCAATTTTTCATGATTTTTCTCATTTTCAAGTGGGTGCAAATGGATTCACAAGTGGGTGCAAGCCTTTTTTCAAAATCTCAGGTGAGTGCTGCGCCCAATTGCTTTAATGCTGGGGAGATCATTGTACCATGTTGAAATTTTCACACGGACAAACAGACAGATGAGTGAAGAGAATGCTACTTGAATTATTTAAAGCTATGCCCAAACATTTTTCATGAAGGGAAGAACTTCAAGTATGGCAGCTTAATTCAAAATGGCTGCCATATGCGACACCCATACAGACAAAGAGATTGATGAATGAACGTAATGCTCCTATAATAACATTCAATTTATGAACCCCTACATATTTCACTGATGAAATGGGAGGTTAAAGAAATCTTTTTTGATTTTTCATTTGAGAATGTACCCTCTCCTCAGTGGTTGAGGAGTTGGCGAAGAGGAAGCATTTCTTTATCATTTAATTTTGTCTACAGTTGATTGTGAACATGATATTTAACTGGTTCATAATGCAATTTTCTCTGTATAAAGCATCTTGGCAATAACAAAACATTGTTTTTCCATCATCGTGTTATATTTTTATATTATAACTATGTAAATAGTAAATATATACAAACAAGGTAGTCATAGCAATATATTGCATTAACAATCATAGAAACCATTGGTATTCATTTTGAATTATAAACTGAGAAATTCTTGAATAATGCTTTGTGAAATTAGTTTACTGCAGTCTATAGCCAATAACTTGGAATATAGAGAAGACCTTGGAAGAAGATAAGTCTAAGGTACCTCAAAAATCCTTCATTATAAAGGTTTCTCAAATGCTTTATCACAAAGCAATTTAAACCTGCTATTAACTCTCTATCTTATAATAGATGTCCCCCAGCCCCATCAAACACTTTCAATTTCCCACAGAGGATTAGATCAAAGGAGGATTGGTTTCCAGCGATGCCACTCGATATTCTTTCCATAATGGGTATCACGTAGTCATGTTGTGATTACTAAATTCAACAAAAATATCAGCCATTCTCCTGGCAACGTTGGAAATTAAAGAACATCAAGTTGTAACCCTGGCTTCCAATCCTCCTTAATTGGATCCGAGAATGCAATTTCGATATTTTCCAACAATGAAAATGTTCAATGTGGTTATTGTCTGAGAATAAACTTTGCTAATATCTTGATCACTTCTGGTGTGTTAAACTAAGTTCACACCAACGGCGCTTTGATGGAGCTTTAAAACGGCGTGCAAAGCCGTTGGTGTGAACTTAGCTTTATGAAGTTTTTGTTATGTAATAAGATTATAAAAGCAACACTCACGATTCGAAGTCTGAAGTGAAAATGGCTAACTGTTTAATTTTGAATTTCATAATCACGACAAGGGTTTGTTTAAAACCCGGGGTTTAGCATGTGGATCAAACGAAACAAAAGAATATCAAAATTGCATTCTGGGATCCAATTCTCCTTGAACAATCTGTTAATTTTATCATGCTACAGTATTTGAAAGAATGTTGTATAGGCAAGTAACAGTTTCAGATTTTAAGTTATCTTAGTTAAGCATGGGAAACTTTAATGTGGCAGATTTGTGTACCAAACTCAATAGTGATACAATTCATTTAAGAGTGATCATGATGTGTTTCACATATAATGAGGAGCATGAAAAAATGTTAAGGGCTAAATGGACAACTTAGAAAATATTCAAATACTTTTGAAGGGCAGTGTTTGTATTGCTGATTCTTAATAACCCTAAAATGTTAATAACTCATGATGGTCCAAAGCAAAATCAATAGACTCAAATAGCCTTGGTTTAAAACTTCTTTTCTGAAAAATCACAAATCCTAAAAAAAGTTTCAAATTGTATTTTACTGTGCTCATCTTTTTCAATTTTAGGAAGTTAATTAAATATACAGTATGCAGTTTCTTCAGAAGCAAAATGAGCTTTGATTATTTCAGAAGAGAATTATTTCAAAAATTATACTAACTTTACTTTTTATGCGTGTTGATGTAGTGAGTTTCATATCACAATGATTTAGAAACATTTTGTTCTTATTTAGATCAGAATTACACATGCTGACCCTTTAATGTATAACACAACTAAACCTAACATGGGGCCTCAATTGCCTCGAGCCAGCATCAGCATTTGTCAAAAAATAATAGCAATGAATTCCCAACTGAGGCCAATAAAAATAGATCTTTCGATTAACATGTAATAAACTTATTGTATTTATGACTAAAACTGCATATAAAATATGAATAAACAAATTGCTTTTGCACAAAGTTTTTCCTACATTGATTGACATAATTGTATTGACAGCTTATTCAAAATATCTTCTCGCATGCCACATTTAGTTGGCATTTTATTCAAAGCCACAGAATAGTTTTAACTATCGTCTGCAACTAACTCTCCAAATGCATTATGGGATACCATAACAGAGATCCCAACTTCCTGGAATATTTTACATCGTTAACAAACAATTAATTCATGAGGGCATCACTATTTTACATTATTATATACCTCAAATGTATTCTAGATGCTCATTGGCTTATTCATGGTCACATGACATGGAATAGATGAACTAATTCCCTGGAAAGTCCTAAATCCCTGCTTTCAGGGAAGATGAATTGTACTAATCACCAGTTAGGTCATGTGACCAGTCAATAGTACATTTTATCTTCCCCCAAATCTGAGATTATAGGAGTTGAAAGGTAAAATGCCTTTAAATGCCAATAAGAACCTGTGAACATTTGATATTGAAATGAAAATACTTCTCATTTTGTTTTTGTTTACAAAGTACTTATCAGGTATATAATAAAACAAATAGTGACTGCCACATTTTCGGGAAATAGTGTAAAAATTTTCCTCTCGGGAATATCCTGTCCACTGACTTGTTCCCTCGGCCTGCAGCCTCGGGAACATGTCAGTGGACAGGATATTCCCTTGAGGAAAATATTTTGCACTATTTCCCTCAATGGCAGTCACTATTTGTACAATAATCCCTTCCTAGTGACAGTCCCTAAACATCAAGGAGGTCATTGCAATTTCATTCTCATAAACAAGACTAAATGACTAATTTTGTGGCATTTTGATCCAAATTTCATCGAAATCTGTTAATAAATTCGTTAGAATACATGACATGTATACTGTCTTTATTTCATATTTCAAACAATGACCCCCTTGATATATAGGTACAGGCTTTATAGAATCTTCTAGAACAAATCTTGTTGTTATCCCTCCTTGAGCTCATTAATCTGTTTAATGAGGTATGCTTTTTCGTCATTAAATTGTTCATCTTCGGGACGATCCGTGTGAAACTTTTGCAAAAATGTTACCAATTCGGTTCTTTCTTTCAACAAAATATCTAAGATCGGCTGTGGTTTGTTTGGGTTGGCGACAAATACCTGCAAGCAGAAAACAGACAATTCGTTAGTAAACAGTATACTTCCCATAACAGTTAGATTCACATACATGTTCATAGAACTATGCATATCAACTTTACACGTGGGCCTATTATTTAACACATTTGTACATAGAAATTATGAGAGGTTTGAAACGATGTCGGTAAATTTCCAGAGCCACAACTCGGCAGATATTTTATATATAACGCTGCTCCACCTAACTTTGTCATTGAAAATATGAATTGACTCTGTGTCACTACCAATAAACCAATTTATATGAAACTCGTACAGTTTCAAGCAAACTAACTAAGTCGTAGTAAATCTATCTTATGTATATCTCTATAGTGTAATTGATCAGTTACACATTATTTTTCAAATCAATTAATTCACTCAAAACATGAGGTGCGTTTAATAATTCCGTATGAAATTCAACCTGCTCACTTTTTTATTTAATTCTGTTTAATCCATTAATGTACACAAATGTTTCTTCACATAACAATTTAGTTCACGAGAGAGAAAAGAAACAATATATAGCGTACTGATGAAGGAATTTGGTTGATTCCACCCATGCCCAGGAATCTAATTCACTGAAATGCCGTTCATTGACGACTGATACCAACATTAGGTCAAACTTGTACCATTGTTGGTCATGCAGTATAACCTCCAACCACTAGTAAATAGACCTCTTCTTTGTGTTTCATATCATTATTGTTACCTTATTCAGTTTACTCTTTGAACTTCACTTCAAACATATTCCCATTACCTGATGTATCTTATTCAGTTTACTCTTTGAACTTCACTTCAAACAGATTCCCATTACCTGATATATCTTTTCAGTTTACTCTTTGAACTTCACTTCAAACAGATTCCCATCACCTGATGTATCTTAGTCAGTTTACTCTTTGAACTTCACTTCAAACAGATTCCCATTACCTGATATATCTTATTCAGTTTACTCTTTGAATTTCACTTCAAACAGATTCCCATTACCTGATATATCTTATTCAGTTTACTCTTTGAACTTCACTTCCAACAGATTCCCATTACCTGATATATCTTATTCAGTTTACTCTTTGAATTTCACTTCAAACAGATTCCCATTACCTGATATATCTTATTCAGTTTACTCTTTGAACTTCACTTCAAACAGATTCCCATTACCTGATATATCTTATTCAGTTTACTCTTTGAATTTCACTTCAAACAGATTCCCATTACCTGATATATCTTATTCAGTTTACTCTTTGAACTTCACTTCCAACAGATTCCCATTACCTGATATATCTTATTCAGTTTACTCTACCGCTATGTCTATTATCCATTTCGAAGTGCTATTTTAATTTATATCTGGCAGATTAGTTCTCTTCGTCAGTTGTGGCCTTGGGAGGTATCTGGAAGGCTTTGCAATGGGTCTTGGAGTTGTAGGCATGTCCCAAACTCCAGGGGAGCTCACAGGATTGCTGTATGGACTCCCGACACTCATTGGTTCATATATAGTGGAAGCATTCATTGGTTCAACAATTGTTGCCACACTCATAGGTTCTTTAATTGTATAAACACTCATTGGTTCACGGATATCGTCTAGGTCATTTGCGAAAGGAATCACAATTGAATTGTTCTCACTTGCCTTCCGAGACAAACTTCCCAATTTCAGACAATTTCCAGAAATTACACATGGCTGGAAAGTTAGAGGAACAATATGGGTGGACGGTAAGTACACTGGTATAGGCAGTCCTTGCTCTTTCACAGTTAACAGTTTTCTGATTATTTCAATATTGTCCTGAACTTTTCTTATAATATGTGTCACAAAACTCCCTATAAGTGCTCTAGATACCTGAATATCTTCGATCTGGGTTATTTTTGACTTGACTTCTTTATGGTGGTATTGAACAATTTTATTTTCCCAATTGCGGAAAGCACTGTCTACATCTGGGGTCAATAACCCTGCTGCCTGTACATGATTTCTGTTTTCCTTTAATTGTTCAATTAGGGTCTGATTTTCCTGCTCCATGAAATGTTGTTCGCTGATTACTTTCTTTAGAGTATCTGGAAGTGACGATAAATACTTCTCGATAACAATTCCTACTCTATGCTCTAACGCTCCGGCAGCTTGGTCGATTTCCAGGAAGTTTTGTCCAGCGTGAACATAAGGGAAGCAAATTAGGAACATGAGACTGTTGTCATCTGTACAGAATAGTTTCAGTGGCTCACCAGGATGTTCTTCACATGTTTGAGGAATTGAACTATTTGTAGAAGTGAGTAGACTTTTTTGAATGGCACACCGAGCTATATCTAACAATGAGTTGGCTTTAAGAGCAGTAGTTCCCCCGTGTGGTACATGCCATGTTCTCCCGCACACAGGGCAATGTAGCGGCTCACTTGGCTCACTTTTTCCAACCAAGCGATCAATACACCCCAGACAGAATAAATGATTACATGGCAGAAGTCTAGGGTTATCAAAACGATCTTTGCAAACTGCACATTTCAGAATGTCTCTGAATCCTCCATCTTGAATTGAAGAAGGTGCAGCCATGACAACCTTTCCTTTATACTTCAGTCAAAGTATCTCATTGTGAGTCTTCCGAACTTAATGTTACGCTACTAATATAATGTATGGTTATAAAGATAATAAAAAGATGTTAAACAAAGTGTAAAGGCCAAGTGACTTGAATGTATGTCAGATAACAAGACTATTAATAAATATTTGACTTTTGAACTTTTCGACTAATAAAACAAATTAACAAAAGGGGATGCAAAAATTGAGTCATGTCTCAAGTTACCATCTGAAATTCTGAAGCCAAAAACTAAAATGTGACAGCACATACCTTTGGTATTATTACTATCTCCTTTCATTTGAATTACTAGTACTTAAATATCTTCATGTTGCTTATAATTAAACACAATCTAAAGTAATACAAAAGTAAATGAATCCCTTCCATTTTTCTGAGAAATCAGCTTTTATATAGCAGTACAGGTACATGTACATACAGAATGATTTTGGTATAAAAGTAAATTCATTTTCACAATATTTTTAAAAAACTTCTGGATAGAATTCTCAAAAAACTTAAAAAACATTAGTATTGATAGGAAATATAGAATAATTATTAATCGCCTCTGTATTTTGAGAGAATTTTCTTGTTAATAAACCTTCTAAATAAGACCTCTACTAATTTTATTCATCTGAAAAATATACCATTAGGCTTGATATTTAGATGTCATTGTAGGAGGTATGAAAAGCATAGTTATTTTGCTTTGACTTTAATTTTTTTAAATATTTTATCTAGAAACACTTCTGTGCCTAAAAACACAACTGCAGATCTTGCTAAAATAAAATTGCTTCTCTGAGTTTTTACATTGGGTTTACGAAAAACACCGACCGCCGGCTGACGGTCTTTTACATAAAGATGAAAAAATGCAAAATTAGAAGTAAAACTAAAACTGGGAATCCAATGACTATAGTACCTTTACCACGGTGCCCATGTCAAGCTGCGCGCCTATTTAGGCGCGCAGTTTGTTTCGATCACAAACTGCGTGCCAAACAACATTGCATCATTTAAGTTGGAGTCTGTATTTTGAAACGTAATTTAAAGACATTTATCCTGCATTGTTTTCTTGTTCAATGCGTTCATTCTGTGGCGAATATACGAATCTTGCAAATACTAGCAAAAACTATGTGCAAATGAATCTAAGTTTTAAAACATAAGCAGATTAATGGCATTTTCGTCACTGATTTAACGGGAATTTATACGTAAATCGATCTAGCACAAATGACAAATACTTTAGACTCGTTTTATATTTAATTCCTTACACATTTATCATGTATAATTTAAAATATTTCCAGTTAAAACAGATAATCAGGAGATTAAAAGGAAATAAACCACAAACTGCGCGCCTATTTTAGCCAGAAATTACAAACTGTGCGCATACACTATTAAAACTACATATTATCAAAGGAATTTCTACAGAGGCACGTGTAGGTGTTTTTCATGTAGCTTTGGAAATTTTGCTTTATCGTCAGATTTTATGAGATTTTCATATTGAAAGTCAAAATTTATAATAGAAGTGACAATTAAGTTGGGAACGAAAAAAACTTTTATTTTCAGATCTCAGACTCTCATAGTGTTTCAATTATGGGGCCCACTATTAGACACATATGTGCCTTGTATGGCGCTTATGTTTTCTAATAATACAAAACAAGCTTGGATAAGCAAGCAGTTTGGAAATATTAGGCACGCAGTTTGGGAAATACATGTGAATATAGGCGCGCAGTTTGACAAGAAAAATGTTTAAAATCACGTTTATGGCGTATTTTCGCAAACTTTGCTGCTTTAATCAGATGGAGTGATCCTATATATTCTAGCATACACAGACACAATGGTTGAATAAACGGCAAATGACGATAAAAAGACATAGGTATAACTTTACACTGTAAATTTTGAACACAGAAGTTACTTAAGACCCTTATATTGAGATAACTAGGTTTACATCGGGAAGAACATTGAGTAAGTCTATGAGTAAATTAAGTTTATCTCCCCAGAATGGTACTATCTTTAGAACGAGACTAACCTTGTATTTTTCGTATTTTGGCTCTTTTTGGGAGTCGTGTCCTCCCCGTCTCACATTTTGAAATATGCGCGCAGTTTGTCAGAGTTTCAAACTGCGTGCCTAGTAGGCACGCTGCTTGACATGGGCATCGTGTTTACTAGGGTCGTGATTAAAAAACGTATAATTAATCATTTCAAATCACGATGAAAACGTTACATCGTCGTGGTGTGTAATGTCATATTTTTAAGTGATGTTTCAGTTGTTAGAAGACCAATTTCATCCTGGTTAGTCACTTTGGAAAAAACGCACGTTACATTGCATTAAGTTTATTCATATGAAACGCAATAACAAAAACACACAAACATCGTCGATGTTGACGTCGTAGCGTTATGTTTGATTTCTCAGTTGTTAAACGTCAACTGGTAAAAACTACATTTGATATGACAAAAAAAGCTTTCTTATGGTGTACTGAAATGGTAAGTCACTTTTAATCCCGATAAGAGAACGCATGTAACATTATATCGTGTTCAGTATTCAGTAGGCTATGACGATAACAAATCATTTTTGTTTCGAATTGTTAAACCTGCACATCGCTCCAAAATGCAATATGTTGACATATGCTGTTTTTACATTTTCAAGCTCTAATATGAAGTTTATGTAAATAAAAATTGTTTTTTTCTGCATAATATAAAAGAACAATCATTTAGTTAAAAAAATAAGAAAACGTTTGTGCGGGATTCGAACCCGGGCCTCCTCATACTGAGCGAGCATTCTACTGCAAGTCCACCGATGTATTATTTATTAAAACGCGTCTTAACTTTAATACCCAAAACGGGAAAATTTGACTATGATATTTTTTGCTCATTTAGCACTTTTTCAAACAATGCAGTTATTTCATGCTCGAAACAGCTGCATTTCCAAACTTTTAACACGTTTTCTACAAAATCTAGCCATTTTGGGGGAAATAGGTGAGGGCTGAGTCTCTAAAAACTGGCCAAAATGACCTAAAATTGGGTCATCAACTTCACAGATCTCGTGCAAAAATTTTAGACGCAAAATCTCCGAGATTATTTCATTATGTCAATCATTATAGCAATGCCTTTCAAGTGTTACACAGAATGATCTGAAATGTATGTTGCTAAATGCAAATATTTTGAGTCAAATGTGGTCCCCATGTGCAAAATTTGCCCTTTTTCTCCTAATTACGCCAGTTAGGGCCCAGCGTATTGTGACATCATACTCATACCATTGCTACAATGTAGCAATTTACAAATTAATCTTGATTACCCTTCCTGTGATACACCTGGCGTGTTTATTAAGCCTGTAAAAATGATAATTTGCAACATTGTAGCAATTTAAATGAGGTATGGAAGCTTAAAATCACGTAATTTATGGAGAAATAACCAGCAATTTTGATGGAATTCCAGTTGATTTTCTCCCATTTATGATCCCTTTGGGCCCCCGTTTGGCCATTCTGATAGGCACAGGATGTTTAAATGTGAATTAAAAGCATTGTGTGGCCTAGCCTGAATGTAAATATCGACACAATTTTGAAATTCTACAACATCCTTGGTCTCTGCGCAAATGGCAGCCAATCTAAGGCAGGGATATTAAGGTGTCACTACGGTAAATCATTGAAAAATATTGAAAAAAATCACAAAATTCAACTTCTGGGGTACATATCGCCATTTTCGAACGAACTAGCCCATACAATGACTATATTTCTGCGTTCCCCTATACATAACCTTCATCTTGACACTATATTTAACATAGGGTTTAAGTGTCTCGATTTTTAAATATCACTACGCCAACATAGGGACTCATTTTTAGGTAAAATCCCTGCTTCACCGATGAAAATTATCGAATAAAGTAGTTCCAGTTTACGGGACTATATTCTTGCGATTTTTTTCTTTAAATGGCACATTTAGAAAGTACCTTGCCTCAGCTTTACAGACATACCTCAAATGGCCACATTGCATATACTTAAACCTACTATACACAGTGACACCATTGAAGTTGGAATGGCTTCGTTTTTAAAGTATTAAAAAACACCCGGAAGTGGTATTTACAGGAGTGACACCCTAATGCTATAATTCGGAAGTGACGCCATTTGTTCATCATTCTTTAATCTTTCATTAAGCTCAAAATGATAAAGTTCACCCCGAAACAACCCAAGATTGCGTTTTGGAGCGATGTACAGGTTTAAATTTCATAAAAAGAAACGATAGGTTGGTTAATGATAGGTTAGGACCTAAGGCAGGACAATTAATCGAGAGGAGACGGTCATGCCCAATTTGTTTGCTTGCCATTCGTTGCAAGGTACAAAATCGGTAAAACGTTGCCTAGTCCAACGATTGACATTCAAAATCAAATTATTAATATTTTTAGGCTACAAACTATATGTTCGGTCTTTTACATGATATGGTCGGTCTTTTACACATTTTCTTCAAATCCTGTTTTGAGGCTACCACAGAGGGGGAGAAACACCAGGGTTCAAAGATGACATACGCTTATAATGTAAATCTGTATTGAGATGACATCGTCGCTGATTGGTCAAAAGTCGACAAACAAATGACGTCATCAATGGCGATTTCAAAATTTTCGAAATACGCTTCGAATAATAATATGTTCATTTCTGGCGTGTTAACCAATATCATAGCTTCTCATTTCACATCAAGATAAAGAAAGGTGTACGGAATATGCCTATATCAATTAAAACATCCCATCGAAGTGTAGTATTTGATAACTAGCCGATGAAAATTCGAACGGACGAAGGTGGTAAGCAAGAGAGGTAATTATGTCTGTCATCTTTAAACTCTGGGACTTTCCCTCCTCTAAGGCTACCAGTGGAAAACACCGACCGGTCGGTGGTCGGTGGGGTCGGTCTTTTTCGTAAACACTTTTACATTTACTGAAAAATAATGTAAATAATGACCCCAATGATGATACACAAGAAAGTGGAGAGTACACCTGTTGGCAAATTCTATACAAGTTTCTTAGGGAGTACGTCAAAAGTTCAATGTAGCGCAAAAAAACTATATTCTCAGTTAAGTCCCAGACCCCCCCCCCCCCCACTCGCCCTATTAACTTTATATGGAAAATGTTGACACACACGATTTTATGTTCATATTCAATAGATGGGGTTTTGTATATTGGCTGTGCCATAATAGTTCAAAATTTGAAAAACACTGAAATATTTTCAATATAGAGGCGTGCAAAGAGAATTGTGGGACAAAAAAAGGCTAATGCATTTCCCTGGGGACCGATGCCGGCAAGCTTATTTTTTGGGTTTCAGACACCCTCCCTAACTGATAATATATAGCCTATTTGGCGACATTGATTTTTTGACATGCTTCCCTAATTGATAACAAACCTTAAAGACATGGAATGCCTCAAATTGGCTATTCCTGCTTTTATCAAGTAGCATGTTCATCATAAGCTTCAGGTTTTCTGGGTTACTGATATAGCGTGTCATAGTTGTGAAATTGTGACGGTCTAATAGGAGTTCACTCAACAGCTGAAAAGAGAGGTTACAATAATAATCACAGACATTTTGGTGACAATAACAGATGCTTTGGTGACAATAACAAACAGTTTGGTGATAATACCAGATATTTTGGCAACAATAACAGACATTTTGGTGACAATAACATACATTTTGGTGACACTAACATACATTTTGGTGACAATAAAAGATATTTTAGTGACAATAACAGACATTTTGAAGACAATTATATGAAATTGCCTTATCCTTATAAAACTGCTTATTCTGTACTGTTTCACAATGTTAGCAAGATACTCCCCGATGAAAATGTGATTTTTTACTAACCATGAGCGCCTGTCTTCGGATGACATAGTTCTCTGAATCGAGAAGTGCCCTATAAGCAGTGAAGATCTTCTCATAATTTTTCTCCAGGAACTCAGCACTACCTGTTTTATGTCTCGTCAGCAAATCCTGGAAAAATTCAAAAAGTGAACACCTGCCCATCTGGTACTTTCATTCAGATAAGACATGTTTCAGTATAATAATAGTTCATTCTCTTAATCCCCTTCTAACAAATAGCAAAGGTCTTTTCTGGAGGAAGATAAAACAGTGATCTCCAGTGATTTTTTCTCAGGTGGGTGCAAAATCCTAATTTTCACAATTCAGACCAAAATTAGTCAAAATATACCAATTTTTTGCTGATTTTTCTCATTTTAAGTGGGTGAAAATGGATTCGCAAGTGGGTGCAAGCCTATTTTTAAATTCTCAGGTGGGTGCTGTACCCACTTGCTTTAATGCTGGGAGATCATTGTACCATATTGAAATTCTCGGATGGACAAACAGACAGATGAATAAGTTTATTTTATTCTATTTGCCAGATAACACTACTTTCATCACTTAACGAATGACTTCCACAGTATTTTGTCATATTTGTTTCACGTTGTGATTCAGGAGAATTTGTCATTTTACTTTACAAAATTCTCTTTTACACTTTGGAATCCATTATTTCAAATTAAAGAAGACTATGATGATTGACAGAGTTATTTCACAGACAGAAATTCACATTATTTCATAGAAAAGGGAAAATGGAAACAAAATTTCAACAAGTGTCTAGAGCATATACCATAAATGTGGTGAAAAGCCTATACCTTAATAATGGTGCAAAACCTACACCTTAAATATGGTGAAAAGACAATACTTAAATGTGGTGAAACACCTATACCTTAAATGTGGTAAAAAGCCTACCTTAAATGTGGTGAAAAGATTATACCTTAAATGTGGTGAAAAGCCTATACCTTTAATGTGGTGAAAAGCCTATACCTTAAATATGGTGAAAAGACTATACCTTAAATGTGGTGAAAAGCCTATACCTTAAAAATGGTGAAAAGACTATACCTTAAATGTGGTGATAATACTATACCTTTAATGTGGTAAATGCATCTGATGCAACATCAAATGTAGAGACTTTGACATATTCGAACAAATTGTAGAATTCATCTGAATTGAGCATGAACTTAGCTAAAGGCTCGTATCGACAACAATCTCGAAACATCTGTCCGCAGTTTAGAGCAATTTCTTGTGTTTCATATCTGAAAATATAAATTGTGTCAAAAAGGTTTACGTGAAATTGAGTAACGTCCAAAACACATTAAAATAAATTGGTTCAAAGGTAGAGTCACAAATAATTACGTCCAAAAATAATGTCTAATTGTGTGTCAAAAAAATTGATTTTTTTCTCAATGCCTGGTTAAGATCAATCATGTAAGTCAAATCTGACAACCAGTAAATATTTTCTCATCCATTCCATTGTGTAGTTTAAGGAAATACATTTAAGACTCAACATAGAAAAAACTCATCAAAAGAAATAAAATTGTGCTACAGAGGCAGAAATGTGCATAAGAATTAAGAAGAGAATGTGCTTAATTCAAATCCATCTTTTTGCTCTATATCTGCAAGGGAAAATTGTCTTTTGGTGCTTTTTAAGATGAACAAAAATCAAATTATTGAAAAAATCTGAGATAAGACCCCTTTTCCTACGGCCTGGCTCATTTATGAATGTTTTACATTTCAAAGCATTACCCAGTGAAATATTTTCTAGCCCATTCAACAGTGCAGTTTGAGGAAATAAACTTATAAATAAACTTTGTATTTCAATACACAACCCATAAAACATTTTCTTACCCCTTCATTAGTGTTTGTAGAATTTCATACTTTGCACAAATGAAGTCTACTGTCGGTGCACGCGCCCCTATCTGACGACGTAGAAGATTGTTGAATATCTGGGCAGCGTCTTTCTTACCCTGCGGAGGGAATAAAAAATCAAAAATCTTTAAAATCTAACCACAATTTGTTTTTCAATGTGACATATTAGAATATTTAAATTGAAATAAAATAGAATACTACTTAAGAGTGAACATTAACTCTCTGGTGGTGACATAAAAATGCTCTAGTATCCAGAGAGGTTAAATAATTTGTACATTTCAAACTTAATTTGTCATGTCATGGACACAATCCATATTTTTGGCAGGAGTTTGTCTATTTTCTGACATATTCTGTGTACATGAATCTATTAGTTGGACTCAACACTTGTTTCAGCATTTTTTCATTTGAACAATCGTAATAAAATAAAACAGGGTTCTCACTAGAAAATATATAGAACCAGGAGGAAGTAAATCACAATTTGCACAATATTTTTCAAATATCCTGTAATTATCTAAAAATTGCCGATTTTTCAGAGATTATGTTGGAAAAATAAGAATTTGAGGGGTTGTAGCTTTAAGGCAGAACCTGATCTATAGGGGGTGACAAATCTCCCAAAAGATTCACAATATGTTATAAATTGGTGAAGTTATAAATGATTCAAAGTGCAAAAAATGAGTGAAAATGTTTGAATTCTCCCAAATCATAAGAATGGTAACCATTCTTATAGAACAATAATACATTATTGTAAAAATCGTTAGTTTCCCTGGAATAAAGTATGCACTTTTGTGATTTTTAGAATGTAGACATGACATTGAATGACATGAGCCAAAAATATTCTAAAATTGAAACAATTTTTTGTTTAGCCGTCTCGCTATATCTGATTCTCGCTTTAATAACTAATTAAATGAAAGAGGAGGAAAGATGCAAAATTCCAAATACAAAACCTGATTAGGAGTTTCAGTAGAATTTCTCACAACAGGCTAAATAAACGAAAATAACAGGCAAAATTAATGGAAATCATAAATTTAACATGGAAAAGTTGAAAAGTCCCTAAAAACAACAGGCGATTTTGTGAAAACAACTGGTGAAAATCGCCTATTGCCTGCTGCTAATGAAGTCCCTGCTGCTGCAATGGTCGAATTCGCAATAAGGGTTCAGGTGGTAATTTACATAAACATTTTCCATGATGCATCGCTTTGGAAGGGACAAATTTTCATTGGCCCGCTGAACGAGTCGATTTCTCTGAACGATATGTCCGGAAATTGCAAAGGCAAAGGTCACAATCCGCTAATTTCATTAGTGGATGAGTACAACGTACATCATAGCCACGGACATCTAATACGTTCTTCGAACTGCCCTGGAATTATATCAATAACAGGACTGGCATCCAGATCCAAGTATTTTTCAAGACCGCCGACTCTCGTTGGGCTATTTATCCTTATTGACTCAGTTGTTCACATAAATTTACGTACCTTACATGCTTTGTAATCGACGTAGATAGCAAATATTGTTTCCTAAATTGCTCTGAAAAGCGATAATTATTACTAAATGTACTTTGAACAGGTCGACTGACCAAAAAGTCGGACTTCTGGCACAATGTCACGTGACCTATTCGGGAGGTCACGGGAGGTTACGAGAACTAAATTTAAATTTCCCAAACAATCATCATTTAACCAATCAACGTCGAGATAAAATTGATGACGTCACCGCCATCGGTCAAGTTTAGGTCAAAAGTAATCCATCTTGCCATTTGCCCCGCGGATGATTACCAGTCGACAAAAACGATGAAATCACGTTAGAAATAAAATATACACTTTAAAATTGAGGCTGATTGAATATGACAAGACTCCATTGAATACAGCTGTGCAATTTACAGTCACCAAGATGACCTAATTTCGGAGAGATTCGGGAATCTCCTTTCGCAAGAAACATTCTCTCTGACTGTGATCATAGCGTATGTATAGCATCAAAATTGCGGACGATTGTCGATTACTCAAACAAAACTTCAACAAATTCTGATAAAACTATAGCGTGAATCTTGACAAAATGACAGCTTCCAATCTTCTATCAGTCCTCGAGCATAGTTATATGATCCAATCTGTTCAATAATCAGAAAGATAATCGGATTTTCAAAGTAACATTATTTAAATTCTTTTCGCTCTTCAATGGCGTCCGAGCAATTTCTGGGAAATCCGGCAGTGGCGTCACTGGAATTGGACAGCATTTACAGATACAGATTTCTTCGGATTTGGGGATTATAGATCAAAAGACTTAAATAAGGTCACAGAACGGCATTGAAAATCGCATCCCTGTGTAATCCAATGGGAAAGAACCCGGATGTAGACCGAGTTGTACCGTACATGAGAGCTCTTCAAACGAGAATTAACTAAACTGAACTAGACAAAACTTTATTGCATATTGGAGTATTCCTGGGGAACACTAGAGAAGAATAGATTTGCAGTCAGATTTGAACAGCCCAAACAAAAATGAATTCAAGTTTACATCCAGTTTACACTCAGTTTACACTTAGTTTTCATCAGACTTGGTGTATACTTCGATGTTAAATTTACCTCAAGTAAATAGGTATTAGGTACCAGGTGCGGATCTGGGAACCAACAAGGGGGGGGGCCCAAATTTCAGGTCAGAGAAAAAAACGGCCGCGCTTGCGCGGAAAAAAATTTTGGGCCCCTAAAAGGCAAAAGTGGGCCCAAATTTTGAAATTTTGAGGCCCATTTTCTTCAAAATTTGGCCTGAATTTAAAAAATAAGGCCTTAAAAGGCCCAGTAATGACCAAAAAGGCCGCATTTTTGGGGCCTTAAGGCCTTTTTGGGCCCAAATTTTGGGCCCCCCCCCCTAATCCGCCAGTGGGTACTAGCAGAAAGTAAACACTGATTTACTAGGTGTATACTTGACTTAGAATTTGTTAAAAGTGAAAACTGGGTGTAAATTAGTCTCAGAAAAAGTCTAATTCGGGGGGTTCGGGCGAACCTGTCCCCCCCCCCTGGCCAAAATTTCTTTCAAAATCATGCAGTTTTTCACAGTTCTGACTATTTTTGAGTGATTTTTGGCCAAATTTGCCCAAGTGAACCCCACTAGAATTTTTAGAGCGCTAAGAGAGATAATTCAAGGAAAATCCCTATGGCCATTTAACATGGGATTTTTTGTTTTCACAATTTTTTGCAATGCGTTACACTTTGGACCCCCTGTAACTTCATAAATACTTAACGAAAAGTTACTTTTTTTAGAATGTTTGTATGGACTTCAAGATTACAGAAATTGATAAATCAAATACCACTTGAGGGATATCCTCTGATCACAGTGCTTCAAAATCCAGAATATCTTATCTCTCCCCAGGGCCGTAGCCAGAATTTTCCAAGGGGGGTTCACTTTTCCAAAAAATTCTAGTGGGGTTCACTCTATTGGCAAATTTGGCCAAAAATCACTCAAAACATAGTCAGAATTGTGAAAAACTGCATGATTTTGAAAGAAATTTTGGCCCGAACACCTCCCCCCCGAACCCCCCCCCCCCGACCCCCCCCCCCCCCCGAACCCCCCCCCCGACCCCCCCCCCCCCCCGACCCCCCCCCCCCCGACCCCCCCCCCCCCCCCCCCGACCCCCCCCATGGCTACGGGCCTGCTCCCCCTGCAATAAGCAGTTAGCATAAGGTGAACTAAGATGTTAACTACAAGTGAAAACTAAGTTTAAAATCTGACCAATCAGAATGTGCTCTTTGTGTAAATTGGATGTATACTAAAGTGTAAACTAAGTGTAAACTTATGTGTAAATTAGCTCATTTTCAAGTAAAATTGGTCACCTATTTACTGGATGTAAATTAAGTGAAAACTAAGTGCGAACTGGATGTAAACTAGATGTAAACTTAAGTGTAAATTGGCGTGTATACTAAGGTGTAAACTGAGTGTAAACTTAGGTGTAAATTAGCTCATTTGCATATGAAATTGGTCACCTATTTACTGGGTGTAAAGTAAGTATAAACTGGGTGTAAATTGTAGGTGTAAAGCCTTTGTAAATCTAGATATGGGAGGAGAGAGAATGGTGCTGTACGAGGTTCTAAAAGCCTAGTGAGAACCCTCTAAAGCATCCATATTGTTCACATATTAAATGCACCTCAAAGTCAATTTTTTGTAGATTCTGTACAATGAGTAGGAAGAGGTTCCCACTATAAAACTCCTCAGCCAACTGGGCTACAAGTTCTGTCTGTGGTTCCTGCTGGTCAGTCCCATATAACATTATTTTCATGGCAACCAATGTTTTTGACACTTCCTCGGACACCTGAAGATAAAAACAACAAAAAAAAGTTACTAGCCATCAGGTTCAGAATAAATATGTATTTAAAAAGGCGGGGTTTATACTGCACAAACCAGAAAATCTCCTTAAATGACGTAAAAGGCGAGGTTTACCGATTACATAGACAAAAATTTTGCGAGATTCTTCAATTTTCATTTTTTTGACTGACACTAATATGCAAATATAAAGTTTCATAAGTTTTTTTTTATGTGTACATTAACAAAGAAATGTTATCATGACATCATAGCATCCATGGTAACAATGATGAACTCATTACGAATATTTAAATGCTCTCTACCTACTTAAAACATTTGTATTCAACAGTTGTTCTTCTTGAACTTGGTCATTTGTAAATCAATCTATTTTTGTTCTATCCTCAAGTGACTGCTTAACAAGTACAAGTATAGCTATTTTTGTCATATTATATGACCAGGTTCATAAATCAATGCTGCTTATTTATAGTAAAAAAAAGTTCATAATACACTTTTAATTATAATGGGGGTAAAATGTTGTTTCTACAAGCAAAAATAATGAGGGAAATAGGGATTAGGTCTAGGGGGTGATGGCTCATGGGGTTTAGTAACAGGCTTAGGCTTTAGAAATGGGAATGGGGATGATATATTGTAAAAGGGATTGAGTTTAGCTGTGTGGAAGGGGTCTAATTAAAGGGATCGAGTTTATAGAAATGTTGATGGTATCTCTTAAAGGGATTGAGTTTAGTAATGGGGATTGGGTTTAATAAAAGTGATTGAATTTAGTTATGTGGAAAAGGGATTGAGTTTAGTAATGTGCATGGTATCTTGTAAAAGGGATTGATTTAAGTTATGGAGATGGGGTCTAATAAAAAGGATTGCGTTTAGTAATGTGGATGGTACATGTATCTCGGGAGTTTGGTAATGGAGATGGGGTCTGATAAAAGGGATTGAGTTCAGTAATATGGATGATATCTCGAAAGAGGGATTGCGTTTAGTAATGCTAGCGTTAACGCTGTTTTTCGCGATTTTTACGCAGTTAATTTCATCTTCACGCAAAACTGCAACACATCTTATGTATAGTGTACGCAAATATCATATCCCCCAAATGTACCTATGAAATAATACAAAAAGCAACCAAAAAACAAAAATTAAAAACTTCGCTCTCTAACAGCGTAACATAACGATCAATCTGATTCGTGCATAATATTTGTCTTCTGGTTATTAAGCCAATCAAAATTCTTGTAGCAAAAGTATGCGGCTAAACAGGGTATAGCTGCAGAATGTTTTCCGCAGGACCGTTCGTGTGAAATGATCATTATTATTTTATAATCTGCACTGTACAGCCATGAGGAATCAACTTGTTCACGGAAAATGTATTTTATTGCGTTTGAGTCACGTAGTACGAATTGCAAGAAAATGATTTCTATTTGGTCGTTTAACGTTATGAAAATAGAACGTAAATAGAGTATTACTGAGTGAATAGTGTAGGCATTAATGAATAAGATCACTTCGGCTCTAAGCGGCAAGATAAACTAAGTATATGTCTTTATAATTAATTTTTTAAGAAAAAATGTCGGACAAACCTTTTTCCTTTAACCTCAATTGTTGAGGATTTAAAAAAATTTTAACATCATTTTCTCAACAAATAACAATGGGAATTAACAGGTTTGTGATGTTAAAGATATAAAAGGTTTTACGGGTGGTCGGAAAGTTTTTCAATTTGGAGAAGATATATTTTATTTCTACACTATCGAGTAAGTAACCACTTGTTCATTATAAACATTGTATTTTTGTCAGCGGCGACGCAGCCGCAGAGCCACATTTTGGCAACCAGCTTGTATATAAGGATGACATTAATGTACAAATAATACACTCGGTTTTTCTGCAGCACGCAGCCGCAGAGCCACATGCTAGTTAGATGTTATGTTTAATAAGTGTCAGTTAGAATAGAAATGGAGATAATTAACTCTAATATAGATGATCACCATGTTAGATTCTTCTTAAATACTTTGAATGGCCACTTGAATCGGCGGGACTGCATGTTAGTCTCAGATTCAAATAACCACGGCTATTTGATTCCTACCGACTGCAGCAATCTGGTGCAGGCACCATACCCAGATGTCATAAGGGGATTCCCCGTCAAAAGCCAAACCGCCAGTTTGAAAAATTTTCAATGAAAAAACGATAATTTCTTCGTTCTGTGCCGATAAACTTATATGATTGGAGATTCAATAATATAAAAACAATCCTTAAATACTCAGGCATTTATTGAGGCAGGTCAGACTTGCCAACCTCCCGTTTTTTTACGGGAATCTCCCGTAATTTTTTTGTTTTTCCGTAAAAAATACCAAACTCCCGTACCGTTTTCTCCGGTAAAAATTCCCGTAAACTCCCGTACCGTATTTCTACTAAAATCTCCCGTAATTTTTTTTAAAATATGGCCGTAAAATCTCCCGTATTTTTGCTGAAATCTCCCGTAAAATCTCCCGTATTCTGGTATAACTCCCGTAAAATCTCCCGTATTCTTGGTATAACTCCCGTAAAATCTCCCGTTTTCTGGTATAACTCCCGTAAAATCTCCAGTATTCTTGGTATAACTCTCTTCTTATTGCAGGCATGCTTCTTTCTTTTACTCCAAGAAGGATTGGCTCCCATGGTTCACTATCGATCATAAATAACTTAAAAGTACTTCATTCCCATGATTCAAATTGCTTTTCTGCGATCAGTTCGGTGTAAGTTTGCACACCAAATGTCCACAAACTGGGGCCAGTTCATATTTTGTCATACTTCTGTCGGGAGATTACATTTTGTTTTTATATGGCGCTAAACAAAATATTCCCGCAATATGAGGCGAATTATGGGTAGGGACTGTTGTGAAATAATGAACGTAAGTGACATCTATCTTAGATCATAAGTTCTAATTAATTTACTAACTGCGCTTGCGTCAGAATAATTTCAACCAATTAAATCGCTGGATTTAATGCTCATGCGCGAAAAACCGAACCTAAAAATGGAACCTCACGCAGATTGCCCTTAGCATATAGTGAACGCCACATAACATTTTACTTAGCTTTGATCAATTCGTTTCCAAAAAAAATACCTTTTTTAAAAAATCTCCCGTAAAAACTCCCATTTTTTCAAAATCTCCAGTAAAAACTCCAGTTTTTTTCAAAATATACCGCAAAAACTCCCGTTTTTTTAAATCTTCCGTAAAAACTACCTTTTTCCAAAATCTCCCGTAAAAACTCTTGCTTTTTTTCAAAAAACTCCTGCAAAAACTACAGGATTTTGAAAAAAACTCCCGTAAAAGTATCGCAATTTATTTAAATCTCCCGAAAATTTTTCATTTTAGGTTGGCAAGTCTGCAGGTAATTTGTGTAAAACTTGCGTCAAAAATTGATAATAATAAGTGCCGTTCCACATCACCACACTTCAGGGTGGGCATGGCACAACGAGAAGGCTACAGATTTGATGTTCATGATTCATGATTTCTATGTTTTTTTCATGATATTTGAATTTGAGCTACAGTTCAGTCTCGAGAGGTAATCTAAAGTTGAAAGACTGAACTAATATTGGGGTGTTTGGGAGAGGGAGATTCCATGGATGGTACCTTAGCCTTGGAAGGTAAGTTACAGGGACTTTGTTGAGGCCTCAGAAGAAGGTTAACAGGAATGATTTGCAATGCATGAGTACATGCAGGGACATAAATAAATGTTTTTACCACAAAAGCCCACTGCAGCGATTTTCAAAAAGTACCCCAAAATAATTATTTGTACCCCATTTTTTAAAGTGACCTGGGCATGAAGTACTCAAAATTACTAAGGCCTAGCCCAATCACTGGTAATGTGTATGGTATCTCGACCGTGAGTTTAGTAATGGAGATATAATGGAGATATGGGGTATAATAAAAGGGATTGAGTTTAGTAAATGTGGATGATATCTCAAAAAAGGATTGCGTTTAGTAATGTGGATGATATCTCAAAAAAGGGATTGCGTTTAGTAATGTGGATGGTATCTTGTGAGTTTAGTAATGGAGATGGGGTATTATAAAAGGGATTGGGTTTAGTAATGTGGATGATATCTCAAAAAAGGATTGCGTTTATTTTTTAATTTTTTTTTTTGGAAAACGCTTTTAGAGCAGCGGCACTCAATCGGTGCATCCAATACATCATATATAAAATACAAATGGGATAAAACATATCGTGTAAAAGGTCACTAAAAACATGCATACGACTATTGTGTGCACTGTACATGTATTTTCTTTAAAAACAACTTGTCATATTTGTCAAACTTTGCGTAATTATCATGTCCCCACAAGATTAAAGTGTCATCTCCCAGAGCCCAACATGTTTTTAGTTGTACACTAGTAATATGGATGGTATCTCGTGAGTTTAATAATGGAGATGGGGAATTTTAAAAGTGATTGAGTTTAGTTATGTGGAAAAGAGATTGAGTTTAGTAATGTGCATGGTATCTTGTAAAAGGGATTGAGTTAAGTAATGGAGATGGGGTAGTCTAATAAAAAGGATTGCTTTTAGTAATTTGGATGGTATCTCGTGAGTTTAATAATGGAGATGGGGTCTACTAAAAGGTATGAAGTTTAATAATGTGGATGATATCTCGAAAAGGGGATTGTGTTAAGTCATGAAGATGGGGTCTACTAAAATTATCTAGAAATGAAGATAAGACTTAATAATGGGGATGCTGTCTAATAATGGAAATCGAGTATAATAATGAGGTAAAATTAGGATAGGCTGAAAACTGAATTTTACCAGCTATGGACATTTTGATTTTGGTAAAATCCCTTCCCCTTCCTGTTTGGAGGGTCTCACTCAAACTTTGAGTGATGCATAACTACATGTACCAGGTTTCTTACCTTAGCTTTTTTCTCACCCTCACTCAAGATGTGGAGGTTATCGTTCAACGACTTAGCAAGGTCTTGCGGAGATTTTTGAGACTTGCCAAATAAGGGCATGGTCGTCTTGTTTGTTCAGTCTCTCTTTGGTTTTAATGCAATCTTCAGTTCACCTGGAAATATGTAATTAAAAGCCTAGTATTGTCATTATAGTTGTTGCATGAGATGAATGGTGTCATTATAAATGAATAAAATCTTCATAAAATACACAAAGTCATTGTGAGATTCACAGACTGCGTAATATCCCAGATGTAATATCCTGGAGTAGACAGGCGTTATAGATAAAGAAGACTGAAAATCAGAATGACACAAAGTTAAATAGACCTTAGACCATTATGCAAAAACAAATAATCTTGGTTTTCATATCCAAATATACGAAATCGCAAACGATAATATCATTTTTCAAATCTAACATACAAAATCATAAAAAGTGGCTGATATGTTTTGATTTCAATTCGAATTCCTTAAATAAATACAGGTATGAGAAAATGACTAAAAAAATGAAAGAAATTGCATAATCATGTCTGATAATCCATTTTCATTTCCAAGGACAAGTCTCGGTTTGTAGAAGAGTCTGCTGGGCTTATAATTGTGGCATATTATATTTAGGTGCGTAAATTAGTCATGAAAACTTAATAATAAGTGGCCATAACATGTTGAAATCGAGGGTAGTGAGAATGTGTTTTTTCGGGTCAAAAACTGATTATGGTTCCTTTGAAATATGAGCTCTGTATGTGGGTTTTGTCTATTCGTCTGTCTGATAATAATAATCAAAATTCAATACTGTTATTAAAGATTCATATCTTTTTGAAAAGAAATGTATCTTCAAGTATATCATTTCATTTAAACAATAAACACCGACACCATAGAGTGAGTAAATTAGAAAATTATAAGGAGTCAGGAGAGTACCCTGTTGCATGCCTACATTTCCTGAATTTAAAGGTGTGGTGACATTTTGCATGTTTCTGGATCGTCACTACTATTGAAAGCTTATGTTGATATTGTAGCAGTGTTTTTTAAGTTCTTTTTGTTGGTACAATTAGTTTCTAAACCCTATACTTATATTGATCTGACACACAGTTTTAGTGCAGGTTTAAGTGATTTTTGTTGATTATTAAACGCAAAGAGCACATGTGTCTCGAACTCGCAACATTGTGGATACAGAGACCATTCACATAGATTGACATGCTGGTGCTCTGAACCAGCTCGTTAGTTAATATCTGACTAAGAGACAGCTTGCTTTCCCGATGAAGAAACGTTATCTGCAGCTTTTATGAGTACTATAGTATCTACAACTATTTTTGATCTTATGAGTTGGATATCATTATTTTCAATTTTTCTTCAACATGTATTTTAATGACTTCAGTATGAATGGAATGTCCCTCGGAGTTGTGGTCGTTGATGAGGAATTGGTCATTGAACGGTGTGGATGCTGTTTATTCCCATATTAGATTATTGTCTTGGGATATTCAGGTTTGATTTTTGTTTTTGTTGCCAGTTTTACACTTTACAGTTTGCTTTTCCCACTAGGTTGCTTTACACTTTTTTCCTTTCTCATTCGTCATTTTTGTTTATATTTAGTAAGGATATGATACGCAGGTCTCTCCTTCTGTGTGATCACCTGTCCAGAAGATAAATCAACTGCATGAAGAACATTTCGTTGACATGATGCACAGTGAAAGGTTTTCCACACATTTACATTTTCGTCAAATCCAGAAATCTCCGGTCACTTTCTTTATCAGGAGAGCTGTCAACACATCTGATAAGAAGTGTTCTTAGCAGTTCTAGTGAAACTTGATGCTATGTTGGTCTAATACAAGATGCAGCCTACTTGTAAATAAAATACGTTATCCATGTACGTAATATATGGTTCAACAAAAAACAGCAACTAAAAAACAACAACTAAATATGAGAAACTTATGTGGTATATGCCATATTTATGTGTCTGATCATATAATCTTCAAATTATCCATCAATTTCTTAAGAAATTGGCGAAATTAAGGAAACCAGAAAACACATTTAATGAAAGGGCGGTGTTTATAGGCTGTATGAAATGCCCCTGCATTAACGCTCACATATATGAGTTTTAAACAATAATTTAGTAGACTAAAGTGTTGATACGAAATCTCAGTAATAGTACCAGTTAGGAGATAAGGTGATGTCCGATTTAACATTACGATTGCTGGATATGTTTAAACCTGCACATCGCTCCAAAACGCAATATGTTGACATATATTGTTTTTACATTTTCAAGCTCTAATATAAAGTTTATGTAAATAAAAATTGTTTTTTTCTACATAATATCAAAGAACAATCATTAAGTTTAAAAAAATAAAAAGGCGATTGCGGGATTCGAACCCTGGCCTCCCGCGTGCTGAACGAGGATTCTACCACTAGATCAGCGTGTTATTATGAATGGTGGAAGTAATTAAACTCTACTTATTTTGAATGCTATGATTCGGAAGTGACGTCACGCTCTTCATTTAGAAATCTTTCCAAAATCATATCACCGGCTCCGATCGAAGCAATTCAATGAAAAATCTTTGAAATGACACATTTATCCTAAGTATTTCTACACAAGATTTGCCCCATTTGTTCATCATTCTATAATCTTTCATTAAGCTCAAAATGATAAAGTTCACCCCAAGGACAAGTCTCAGCTTTAAAGAGCTTTAATTCCGTTATATACTCAGATCAAGGCCAATTTAGCATACATTTCGCTCACAAAAATCGCTGTGCAATAATGGATTGCAAAGAAATGTTTGACGTTTTCAATAATCTTTTTTCTTTTTGATGAAATGTAGTTATTTACTCTAAAAATCAATCGATGTCATACACAAAATGCATTTAAGTGGTATAAAGTACAGAAGCAGAGTAAAAATATGTATTTTAGAATATCACCATGTGTTACCCCATTGTAGCGCCTCTTGCCCAACTTTCTATAAATATAAAACATGATATCATACACCAAATATGCATTTATGTCAAATTATGTGGTTTAAAATACAGAAAAATAGATAACATTCTCCTTAGAATACCACCTTGTGTAACCCCACTTTGCTGCCTTTTGCCCCTGTTTATATCAATATAAAAGGTAGCATGTGTAAAAGTTTCAAGAAAATCAGTAAAGTGGTTTTCCTGGAATCACAATGACAAGATTTATCAAAAAAACTTCCAAGATGGCCGCCAGAATGCAAGATGGCCACCGAAAGGTTAATTAGCTCTAGAACTTCTTACCATGTAATATGTGTGAAAATTTGAAGTAAATCCGTTTGGTTTTCCTGAAATCGTGATGACAAGATTTATCTTTAAACTTCCAAGATGGCTGCCAGAATGCAAGATGGCCACCGAAAAAATAATGAGGTCTAGGACTTTTTACCATGTTACATGTGTGAACATTTGAAGTACATCTGTTATGTGGTTTTTGTGGAATCGCGATGACAATATTTATCTGAAAAAAATTCCAAGATGGCTGCCAGAATGCAAGATGGCCGCCGCAAAGTTAATCAGCTCTAGAACTTCTTACCATGTAACATGTGTGAAAATTTGAAGTAAATCCGTCTAATGGTTTACCTGGAATCGTGATGACAAGAAAGTGAGACTTCAGAATGCCACCTTGTCTAACCCCGTTTTGGTGCCTTTTGCCCCTGTTTACATCAGTAGAAAAGGTGTTTTCTTTGAGAGGGAAGTCTGTTCTTTCAAACGATACAATCATTTTATGTGGGAAAGTACCGGACAACAAAACCCCTTTTCTAGAGCCCTTTTGGAAATCAGATCGGGGACTACTGCGCTATCGCTAAGCTACACGGAGAAAGAGTCGAAGGCATGCTAGGCGAACCCTGGAAACACGGATTCGTTAGACCAGGGTTCACTGTTTCTTTCTGTTAAACCCTGTGTGAAAGTACATTCATGATTCATACTACAGTGAGCAGGAGGTTTAACAGTGAACCCGGGTGCTCTTTGGCCTTATTTAGATCTTTGTTTCTTAGACCAGGGTTCATCAGGGTTTAAGGGCATTCCAAACGAAATAAGTGTTTAATGAGGCTAAGAAATAGAAAAATGTGCTTAATTAGAATGATATACCTGGTATTTTGTACTTAGTAAATGTTAAACACATGAAAATCAGTTATTTTTATCAGTGGCCTAAAATACCAAAAGTCAAAAGACCCCTTCTACTCTAACTTGTCACTTCATAGTTCAGCCATCTTTGTTTTCAACTAGTTTGAAATACATGATGACCCACTTAGCGAGTGCGCATGCGCCAGTTCTACTTCCTGAGAGTAAAGTGAGATTTTGCTGAATTTCTCGTTATTATTTAGAATATCACCGTTAATATAAATACTTGATTGTGCATAGTTTGCTATAAGTAAGAATCGATTATAAATAAACATTTTATTGTATATATTCATGTCTCTGTCGTTCTGGAAAGGAAATAGATCGAATTATACGCTGATTATACGTCGAAATTTCACCTAATATCGCCCATATATATTCACATTTTCAGCTTCATACTTGATACTGTCTATGTTTGTGACGACTAAACACGGATTTCTCTTAAAATTATGAGTTATATAGGTGTCTGACATTCCCTTAGAATTAAAATAGCCTGAAAGTTTATTTTTTATTGCAGTTCAACACCGTCAGAAAAACAGAATCATGCCCAAGTACAAACCAACAAGGCAAGGGCTAAGAAGTACTCAGACCCGAAGACATAACCTCATTTGATCCTTTGGTCTAGCTTACTCTAGACCTTACCCAGTAGGTCAGTAGTCCCTAACAACAACATGGTCAGGATGTCTGTCTTATACAAACATTGCTAATGTGCACTACTGAAAATAAAGTCCCTCAGTAGGTCTAGGCTCTAATAGAATGGGACTGACCCCGGAGGGTTCACTTTAAATAATTTTGGAAGGTATGTGCAGCACGGCCAATTTTGGCTTTGGGCATCAACCATGGAAATTGGCGAATCTGAGAAAAATGGAAAAATTGTCTAAGACTCTACGAGAGTACCTTTTTGAGGTAAAAAATCAGTTCTTCTACAAAAAATGGTACTAAATTGG